TTTACAAAACCCCAAAAAAAAAAATTTTTGCACGCCCCCCCCCCCCCTCCCCCCTCATAAAAGAAAGAAGAAATTGTTTGCAAAGGAGAGGCCCTTTGGCTGAAGCGCAGGTCATTATCCCCGGGTAAGCTTTAGACGCACAGAGCTCGGGGGAACCTGCAAAACGGAACAAAAGAAACCTTTTTAAAAGACTGGCAAACATGTACATAAGGGATGGCTCACAAGCCTATTACATACTGTAAAAAGCACAATTGTTTTTTGTTTCCTCCAGTTTTAATGGTCTATGACAACTTGAGCCTTTATAAATTACGTGGTGTATGAAGATGTCTTCATTAAAACAATCTCACCTGTCTTCCATGAAGTTGTCCACTTCGTCTTCATCATCCAGCTCCATGTCCAACTCATTGTCAAGGCCACTGCGACCATAACTACTGAGAACACTGAACAGATGATGTAAAAAACAATGGCTAGTAAATTACTTTTTGTATAATGTGTGTACAGTGAGTGATTACTGACCTGACTGAGCGGCAAGTGAAGAATACAATGCGTTTAAGCTTTTTGTTGTAAAAGAAGTAATTGAAGGACCACATGCTGCCTTCCTCACCAAAGGGGTCAGAGTCAAGGTCTGGGTTGTAGCTACAAACAACAATGGCGGTTATTAAAAAATACGTGTACAGAACACATTTAATGAGGAATAAATCATTTATTTTCTCCTCACATACCTATAGATGTCACAGCCCTGCAGGTTTATCTCTTGATCAATGGCATTCCACAGTTCTGGGCCTAAAGAGTTAAATTGCTCCCCCACAGCAGAATAAAGGCTGCCGTTAACAGAGTCAACCACCTGGAGGACAAACAGACTGTTAGGAAACAATCAAACATGTAAATGAAAGCTAAACAGGTTCATATACAACCCTTTCAAACTACATCCAAAATATCTTTGTTTCTAAAGGATGATATGAAAAAAACGCTAGATTCATTTGAAATTTGTAGCTGCCTATACAAAGTTATTGGCAGAATTAAGCATTTTACAATGAGTGAACATTAAAACTGACAAAACAAAGTAGTGTTACTTAGGACAATTAAGAATCACTGAGAGAACTTAAAGGGGTCATGAACGGAGAAATAAAAATTCCCTTGATCTTTTGACATATAAGAGGTCATTATACTATAAAAACATCCTGTAAATTTCAGAACTCAAAACTTTCTCTTTAGTATAAAAACAGCTTATATTGAAGCCAATCTGCCAAAACGACAGCTTGTGGAATGTGCCGCTCTATGACGTAATAGTGTGGCTAAACCCCACCTCCACAGAAGATCAGCACCTGCTTCTACATCACTGCCGGTTTAGCTCCGCCCACTGATTTACGAGCGTAGTGTAAATAACGAGGGAGACGAACGCAGGTCTACATAGAAACCAAACGAAAAAGATGCTCCGAAGATAAAATGATGCTGTGTAGTGCCAAATTGTGGAAAAACAGTCTTTGCATAACCTTCCATTGGATCCCAACATTAGGAAAGAGTGGATTAGCTTTATTTTTAATGAAGATCCAGACAGAGTCAATAAAAGGTTGGTCGTTTGTTCACTTCATTTCACCGCAGATTCATTTACAAACAGTGCACAATTCGACACCGGATTTTCTGAAAGAAATTAAAAGACGATTCTGTGCCAACTATATTGGATCCGACAGTAATGTTGCGCCACACAAGTGTGAGTAACTGTTTTTATTATGTGGTCACTATTGCTTTGTCTGTTATTACAGATCGTTTGATATGAACTGAGTATTTATGATTTTTAAACCTAAAATCACAGCAGTGTCCATCTATGAAGGATGTAGCTGTCAAACATACACAACTGTTAGCATACAGTTTGCATACAGAACCAACAGGTCCACGGAAGATGCCATCTCAGCTGCTCTCCATCCAGCCCTTACACACCTGGACTCCAAAGACTCCTATGTGCGAATGCTATTCTTGGATTTTAGTTCAGCATTTAACACGATCATCCCACAACAGCTAATAAACAAACAGACACTTGGGACTCAACTTCCCTCTCTGTAACTGGGTGCTGGACTTCCTATCAGAGAGACCACAAAATGTACAAGTCGGCGGAAAAACATCTAAGACAGTCACGCTAAGCACAGGGGGCACCACAAGGGTGCGTACTCAGCCCGCTGCTCTTCACCCTGTTGACCCATGATTGTGTACCCAGTCACAGTACCAACCACATCATCAAGTTTGCGGACGACACGACTGTAGTTGGCCTCATCACCAACAACGAGGCCAACTACAGGAGCGAAGTGAGCCGACTGGTCCAGTGGTGTAATGCCAACAACCTCTTCCTCAATGTGGGGAAAACCAAAGAACTTGTCATCAACTTCAGAAGAAGACCTCCACAGCACCCCCCACTAACCATCAACGGTGCCGTAGTGGAGAGGGTGAGCAGCACCAAGTTCCTAGGGGTGCATATGTCTGAAAACCTCTCCTGGATGACAAACACCACATCGCTGGCCAAGAAGGCTCAGTCACGCCTCTACTTCCTCTGCAAACTGAGGAAAGCACGAGTCCCACCTCCCATCATGTGATCCTTTTACCAGGGCAACATTGAAAGCATCCTCAACAGCTGCATCACAGTGTGGTACGGATGCAGCACTGCATCCTGTCGAAAGATTATGCAACACATAGTGAATGCAGCCAGCAAGATCATCTGTGTTTCTCTGCCCCCCCTTATGGACATCTTCCACACCCGCCTCACTAGCAGAGCCATCAGCATCGCTGCTGATAGCTCACACCCGTTTAACCTCCACTTCAGCCTTTTGCCTTCAGGGAGAAGGTACCGGAGCCTCCAGGCTCGGTCCACAAGGCTTTCAAACGGCTTCGTCCATCGGGCTGTCAGGAAGCTGATCTCTGTCCATTACCTCCCCCCCTCTTCCACCTACTCCTGAACTTTAAAAAACTTGTAGAAAAAAAATCTACAGTTCATGCCACATTTCTTTCTCTGCACTTTACAGACTTTGTTTTTTTGCACTAATGTCATACTGCTGCTATCCGTCTTGTAGCTTACAAATGCCTTTATACTCAGAACTTCAAAATGTTTACATATTTTGTCTGTTATTACAGATCGTTTGATATGAACTGAGTATTTATGATTTTTAAACCTAAAATCACAGCAGTGTCCATCTATGAAGGATGTAGCTGTCAAACATACACAACTGTTAGCATACAGTTTGCATACAGAACCAACAGGTCCACGGAAGATGCCATCTCAGCTGCTCTCCATCCAGCCCTTACACACCTGGACTCCAAAGACTCCTATGTGCGAATGCTATTCTTGGATTTTAGTTCAGCATTTAACACGATCATCCCACAACAGCTAATAAACAAACAGACACTTGGGACTCAACTTCCCTCTCTGTAACTGGGTGCTGGACTTCCTATCAGAGAGACCACAAAATGTACAAGTCGGCGGAAAAACATCTAAGACAGTCACGCTAAGCACAGGGGGCACCACAAGGGTGCGTACTCAGCCCGCTGCTCTTCACCCTGTTGACCCATGATTGTGTACCCAGTCACAGTACCAACCACATCATCAAGTTTGCGGACGACACGACTGTAGTTGGCCTCATCACCAACAACGAGGCCAACTACAGGAGCGAAGTGAGCCGACTGGTCCAGTGGTGTAATGCCAACAACCTCTTCCTCAATGTGGGGAAAACCAAAGAACTTGTCATCAACTTCAGAAGAAGACCTCCACAGCACCCCCCACTAACCATCAACGGTGCCGTAGTGGAGAGGGTGAGCAGCACCAAGTTCCTAGGGGTGCATATGTCTGAAAACCTCTCCTGGATGACAAACACCACATCGCTGGCCAAGAAGGCTCAGTCACGCCTCTACTTCCTCTGCAAACTGAGGAAAGCACGAGTCCCACCTCCCATCATGTGATCCTTTTACCAGGGCAACATTGAAAGCATCCTCAACAGCTGCATCACAGTGTGGTACGGATGCAGCACTGCATCCTGTCGAAAGATTATGCAACACATAGTGAATGCAGCCAGCAAGATCATCTGTGTTTCTCTGCCCCCCCTTATGGACATCTTCCACACCCGCCTCACTAGCAGAGCCATCAGCATCGCTGCTGATAGCTCACACCCGTTTAACCTCCACTTCAGCCTTTTGCCTTCAGGGAGAAGGTACCGGAGCCTCCAGGCTCGGTCCACAAGGCTTTCAAACGGCTTCGTCCATCGGGCTGTCAGGAAGCTGATCTCTGTCCATTACCTCCCCCCCTCTTCCACCTACTCCTGAACTTTAAAAAACTTGTAGAAAAAAAATCTACAGTTCATGCCACATTTCTTTCTCTGCACTTTACAGACTTTGTTTTTTTGCACTAATGTCATACTGCTGCTATCCGTCTTGTAGCTTACAAATGCCTTTATACTCAGAACTTCAAAATGTTTACATATTTTGGATGTATATTTGCACTTTACAAATGGTTTACATATATTTGGACGTATATTTGTAAATTAACAAAGTTCACTGTTTATATTTACTCATGTATATCCATTCAGAAGTTTTACAAGATTTATTTACTCTATATTGGGCTGGACAATAATTCAATATCAATATGTATCGTGATATAGTTTTTTTTCCAATAACGGTGATATGATTTTTAAACACATTTCCGATATTTCGATATACATTACCAGTGTTTCCCATACATTGATTTATTTGTGGCGTTTGACTTCATTGAATAAACATGAGCACTGCACGTTTCAAAATTAAAACGCGGCGCGGGTGTTTTATATGAATGCATCTCTGAAGGAAACCGACTGTCTTCAGAAAGGTTTCGATGGCATTTTTATTTTATCTGATAAAGAAGCGTTCATGAGCGGAGATGCTTTGATTACAGCCATTACTGGAGAAACTGTTAGTTTTATCACTCTAAAAGCTCCTCCTGCTGGCAGAGAATGAGTTAACATTTTCAATAATAAGCCCATCTCCAGCAACGTTTTTGTTGTTGCTAAATTTTTGTTGTTTTCTGCAGCAACTCAGAGCACTTTTCATACTCTTTATACTGGCTGAAGCACAGTGTTTCCATCTATAACAATAATCAGCCAACACTACCAGTCAAAGGTTTTTGAACAGTAAGATTTTTATTTATTTATTTTAAAGATGTCTCTTTTGCTCACCAAGCCTGCATTTATTTAATCCGAAGTACAGCAAAAAACATTTTTTTTTTTACTTTTTCAAAAAAATTTTTTTAAATATTTTTACTATTTAAAATAACTGCTGTCTATTTGAATATATTTTAAAATGTAATTTATTGCTGTGATCAAAGCTAAATTTTCAGCATCATTACTGCAGTCTTCAGTGTCACATGATCCTTCAGCAATCATTTTAATATGCTGATTATCAATATTTAAAACAGTTGAGTAATTTATTTTTTTTCAGGATTCTTTGATGAATAGAAAGATACAAAGATCAGCATTTATCTGAAATAAAAAGCTTTTGTAATATTATACACTTAAAGCTTGGAGTCAGTATAATTTGATTAAATTTATTCATAGGGTTATAGAAATAAATACTTATTTAGCAAGGATGCTTTAAATTGATCAAAAGTGATGATAAAGACGTTTAATGTTACAAAAGATTTCTATTTCAGAAAAAGCTGTTCTTCTGAACTGTCTATTCATCAAAGAAACCTTAAATTCTACGCTGTTTTAATCATAATAAATGTTTTTTGAGCAGCAAATCAGAATATTGGAATGATTTCTGAAGGATCATGTGACTGGAGTAATGATGCTAAAAATTTAGCTTTGAAATCACAGGAATAAATTACATTTGAAAATATTTCCAAATAGAAAAAAGTTATTTTAAATAGTAAAAATATTTCAAAATGTTACTGTTTTTGCTGTATTTTGGATCAAATAAATGCAGGCTTGGTGAACAGAAGAGAATTCTTAAAAAAAAAAAAAACATTAAAAATCTTACTGTTCAAAAACATTTGACTGGTATGTTAGCCTATAGTTTGAAGTAGGGCTGGGCGATATAGCTAAAAAAATGTATCAATGATATAATGTTTCATATCGTTCGGTATCGATAATTGACTTTTTTATAACCTTTTTTAAAACAGAGCAAAAGCAATGTTTACATTTAACCACTTTATTTTTTAAATTAACTCAATTTATTGAGACAAACAACTAATATTTTTTTGTTTTAACAGTCAAAAACAAAATAAAAATTAAACAAATATCCATTTCTAATGTTTTATATGCAGATTAAATAGATTAAACTTTTGGCTTGTCTCTTGAGGCCACAGGAGGGCGCAATGAGCAAAATAATTCAGCACATTAAATTGTCAATGCAAGGAAGTAACGGTCTATAAAAAAAACGTGCATTACGTCTAAATTAACTCATATAAATCAAATATAATTTCATAAATTGCATAAACATTTTTGCATTTGTATTTTTGCATTGCTTAATACAAAGAGCCGAATCGCCCATCACACAGATTGCTTTAAAAACATACGAGATGCAGTGAAAAGGAATAAACCTCCACAAATTTGCAATGCGTTTTCTAAAAGTTGAAACGGTTTTAACTTTGCATGGCTGTCTACATCGTGAGTGCAGCAGTCATATTTGTTCGTCTAGAAAATGCCCTGAATACATGTTCTGTGTGAATAGCTTGGTTTTGGTTTTAACCTAATCAAGATCTTCTACGCATTGAGCTACTATATTTCTCTAATATTTTGAATGAATAACGACTTTATTTTAACGAATTTAAATTCGACTAATATTCATTCTTTACTCACAATCTCCTCATCACAGGCAGGCACAGCACTCATGTTCGTGTTTGTGTGTGCTGCCTGCGTCACTCATATCGATCATTTTTTATATCGTTATCGAAGGTGTCCAGTCGATAAATAATCAATACAATTTTATCGCCCAGGCTTAGTTTGAAGTTAAAGATATTAATAATTTTAATTAATTAATAATTCAAATAAAAAAATCATAAATTGATTTTTATTTGACATTGATTTCACATTTCTTGTTTGTATGAAAGCTAAATACAAATAAAACAAGAAATGTTCACCTTTTATTTGTATTTAGCTTTCATAAATTGATTTTTATTCGACAGTGATTTCACATTTCTTGTTTGTATGAAAGCTAAATACAAATAAAAGGTGAACATTAATTTGTGCGTTTTTTTTTCTTCTAAACAATTTAATAGTTGAGGTTTCATAGACTTGGCAAATTAATTTTTTATAAGTTTGTAGGTACAGACATCTGGGTGTTCTTGGCAGTTTTTATGAGGCTTTTTTTTTTTTTTTAATAGTGTTCATATCGATATCGGAATTATATCGTATCGACCGAAATTAAGAAATATATCGTGATATAAATTGTCCATATCGTCCAGCCCTAGGTCAAACAAACAAACACCCATATACATATATACATATATATATATATATATATATATATATATAGTGTACTTGTACTAAACACACACACACACGGATATGTTTAGTACAAGTACACTCCTGTCACCTGCATACAAAAATCTGTCTTATATTGCACTGACTTTTTTTATTTATTAATTGTTTTAAACAAACTTCTGTATTGCATTGACAATGTAAATACTTGAGAGAGAAGAGAAAGGGTATTTCGATTCCTCTGTATGTCTGCACATATGGTGGCATTGATAAATAAAAAACCTTGAACCTTTTTGGCCAATCATAGAGGTTGGCGTTTACTTCAGACTCTACAATCCGCCACACCTATTCAAACAGAGCGTTCCGATGAGAGGGGGTCAAAACAGGACAGAAAATAGACTATTACTAGGGATGTAACGATTCACTCAACTCACGATTCGATTCACGATACTATTTTCACAATTTTTTTTTAAACAAAATTAGATTTAAGACAAATTATAAATGAAAAGGTATCCTTTTATTATTGCTTGTACAAAATGCTGCACATTTCTTAGTGAAACAGAAATGTGTCAAATATAGGGTGACCTTATTTTAGTTTTCCAAAAAGAGGACAGTGCGGGTCGGGGGGCTGGGGTGTGGTTGGTTGGTGGTTAAAGTAATGCTGAAAGCGCCCAAAGTATCTCAAATGTCAAAACTCAAAATATGTCATTTCCATACCTAATACTCATATTTTACAGTCACTGTTATGCATATTGATCATAAACACAGCTAAAAAGCTTCCTACCAGTGGCCCTTCTTCACAAAACGTAACATCTAGCACAGTTTTATCATAGGTAGAATGCAAAATGTTTCAATACAAGCATTTCAGTCAAATGTAATTTATGCAACATTTCAAACCTTTAACCCACGGGGGGAAATCAAGCCATGGCAACAGTTTAAAAGTAGCCCAATTCAGGCAAAAAAAAAAAAATGCGGACTTGACAACCCTGCATCCAACACGAGCTGCAGGAGTCAGATTTGACTGATCATGGGTTGAGAGGAGAGATGGCTGACAGACCATGCTGGAGGATTTGCTGCTCAACAGATCCTGAGCTCATTGACAAATATCTGATTTTCCTTTACACAGAGTGCACATGATCGCGAAATCGAAAGTAAACAGAGCGCTCATCCAAAAAAGAACATTATTCTCCGCATATTGATAGCAGCCTCCTGATGCGCGAAAATGATATGTAATATTAGAATGTTTGCAGGAGCCTACAGTCCTCGCAGGGCTCCAAAACAAACATGCATACTATGAATGGTGTCTGTAGAAAGCAAAAGCCAAATCCCGGACATTTTTCCCGGGCGATTTAGAATTTTTTTTAAAGGATTTTTTAAGGTTCAAAAAGAGGACATGTCCGGGAAAAAGAGGATGTATGGTCACTCTAGTCAAATAACAAAACTAAATTGAAATTTTAAAACAAACCCCAAATCTGATCAAATAAATAAGACAAAACCAACTCTGAATATAAACAAAGGCTTTGTCTGTGCTCTTTCCATTCAAAATTAGAGGCAACCACTGCATTTGAATCACAATCCAAACAAAGATGCTGAATACATGCAGCATGAGCAGTTTTTAAATACAAATCAGATTGTATAATTTGAAAATTTAAAACAAAAACAGAATGCTCTGACTTTAGTTTTGTGAAACTATATTACATAAAACATCTGCACAAAACAGAAACAGCAGACGAGCTGAATGAGCATCATGATCATGATCATCACAGCAATGATACAGTGTTTCCGTGGTTACCGCTGTAAACAAAGCAGCGCTGCGCTTATGAACTATATAGAGACGAGATGAAAAGAAAATATCTAAAATTAAAGACAGTCAGTTCCCCTTACATTCATATACAGGTGCATCTCAAATTAGAATGTCGTGGAAAAGTTAATTTATTTCAGTAATTCAACTCAAATTGTGAAACTCGAGTATTAAATAAATTCAATGACAGTCCTTAACCAAAGACAGTCTGTGTGCATTGAATTTATTTAATTTAATTTTCCACGACATTCTAATTTATTGAGATGCACCTGTAAACTCTCACCCCCAACTGTATCGCGATTCATTTAACATCTCAACCGATTTGAAGAGTCACATATTTACGTTTACATTTAGCAGATGCTTTTATCCAAAGCGACTTACAAATGAGGACAATAAAAGCAGTCAAAACTAACAAAAGAGCAACAATATATGTGCAAATGACAAGTCTTGGTCAGCCTAACGCAGTACACGTAGTAAGGTATATATATATATATATATATATTTTTTTTTAAATTTATATTAATTACACACACACACACACACAAACAAAGAAAAACAAGTAGATAAAATAGAAAGCTAGTTTAAAAAAAAAAATTAAAAAAAATTTTTTTTTTGTATCGATTTTCAACCGGCTTGCGGTGAATCGTTACATCCCTACCTATTACTGCTAAAATATGTTTTTTGATGTAAAAATCTTGATAACATTATAAGTAGACCTCATAGTAGTAAAAAAAGTTCATGACCCCTTTAAAACTCTGAATGCATAATGTTGCCTTGAATTTTTTACTTTTCTCAACAATTCTTGACCGTGTATCTACAAACCTGTGCACCTGACATTTAATAATATAACATTACATAAGTTCTTAACGCAGCAGATATGTTTTCATGATTCAATGGAAACCAGTCATACTAACCCAGTTAACGCTGGGCTCTCGGCTGAACTCATGGGCACGGGCAGCACTAAAATCATAATCAGGCCGGAACGACTCATTCAGGGTAGTGATAAGGTAGAACAAGGTCTTCCTGCAACACTTATCACTTAGTGGGTTCTCTCCGTCCTCCCCACTCTTCCCCAATCTAAAAGAAAGCCCACAAGAGAGATCGTGTAGTGCAGGGATCCTCAAATCTGGCCCATGAGATCCACTTTCCTACAGAGTTTAACTCTAACCCTAATCAAACACACCTGAGCATGCTAATCAATGTCTTCAGGACCATTAGAAAATCACAGGTAGGTGAGTTTGATCAGGGTTGGAGCTAAACTCTGGCCCTCCAGGTCAAGATTTGAGGAACCCTGGTGTAGTGTAACCACAATAGCTGAGGTGAAGCCTATGGTTATGTGTTAAGGCTTACAGGTTAGGGCTCGGAGCACTGCTGGACTGAGGGGGTGACAGTGCTTCCAGAACATGGGGCTCCCCCTCCTGACAGAACTGCTTAAACATGTGCTTGTCATCACCAGCCATCTTGCACGAGTAGCTCTCTATCCTACAGATAGGAAAAGGAATAAGAAAGGGATTGATTTGATTATATGAATAAACAAACAATTGCACACACAAATGTCGACATAATATATTGTTTGGTTTTTATGTAAGATACAAACTTTTTTGTATTGCAGTAAAATTCTAACTACTTGAATGTGATTAAAAATATATATTTTAATCATCCCAACCTTGACTGCTAGACTATAGACTTAAACCTATATTTTTAGGCTTGGCTAAAATGTCACAGATGTAGAGCGAGGGGAATATAGTGCGTGTTCATCTTGCTGGCTTATGCAAGAGAGGTTGTGCAACTTTAGACAGTCCCAGTAAAAGTCCACAGACATGATTATTTATAGGTGAAGGGCAAAGGCTGTAGCAGGACGCGGAGGAGAATCATATGATTCGGGACACTGTAGCCAGTTTCCTTCAAGCGGTGTGGAAGCTTCACAAATCAGCGGAAGAAACAAGCAAACAGTGGAGAACAAAGGTTGAACTGTAGCATAAACTGTAAATGAGTGTACGTGTCTGGTGTGTGTAAAGATCAGTTTGAGTGAAGACACGTCACACTGAAGTAGACACTTTGAAAGTGTGTGTGCGCGTGGTATCTGTGCTCTAAGATACCACATTTGATCTCTCTGTACTCTACACTAGTCCAATAACATGATTAAATTCTAAAGAAGCTGGCAGATCATATGAAATGCAGCTGTGTTTACATGCACCCCTAAATAACCACACTGGTATGTGTTAGAGGACACTAGAATCTGCATCACGGGTACAACAATCAACAAATACAACAAACAAGTCTCTATTCAGGGTATATCATAACGTCTTCACAGAGTGAAAGAAAATATTACAATACAGTTTTAAACCCAACAGAAAAAAAGGATAACCATGAAACAAGTGTACAAGTAGTGAAAACACAAATAAAACTGGTTCCATATCACTTACATCAGCACCGTGAAATTGTTTTAAATAATTTAAAGGGGTCATATGATGTTGCTAAAAATAACATTATTTGGTGTATTTGGTGTAATGAAATGGTTTAAGGTTCAAAAAACACATTTTCCACATCCTGTACATTGTTTCTCCTCTATGCCCCACCTTTCTGAAACGCGTCGATTCTTACAAAGCTCATCTGTCTGAAAAGCGAGGTGTGCTGTGATTGGCCAGCTATCCAGTGCGTTGTGATTGGCCGAATACCTCAAGCGTGTGACGGAAATGTTACGCCCCCTCACATACGGTGATGCCCTGTCAGGCCGGAGCAACGAGACAAAAACATTCAAACCCATTATAAACGAGGCATTTGTTGCATCCAGTGGGGACATAATTACTGATTATAATTAGGGATGCTCCGATCCGCCTTTTTCGCCTCCGATACCGATACCTAGGGTTCGGTATTGGCCGATACCGATCCGATATCAGTGACTTTTTTTCCCCTCATTTAAATAAATGTAGAATTTATATATCTCTGTATATCTCAGTGTGTGGAACTGATAATCATTCTTTCACAATCTACTAGATACAGACTACTTCATTATAAAGAAAAAGAAAAACAATAAATCTGAAAAAATATAAGCTTATGTATATTTATAATCTATGACAAAAATTTATCATAAACTAGGGTAGTGGATAATTCGGCAGCAAAAGTTATTCTAGAAAAATCAGTGCACAATAATTTTAGAAATCCAAACATTTAGTGAAAAAACTATATTTTGTGGGGAACAAATAAAAGTGTTGCACTAAATATAGTAAAATGTTACACATTGCTATTTGTATTATTATAAAATCGTAACAAAACAACATTAAACTCCGGCAAGAAGATAAAGTCCTTTTTGCAAAATCATAGACATGTATTTACAAATCAAGTATAATGGGAACCAGGGCCGGGTCTAGGGGGGGAAATGCCCCCCCCCAGATTCTCCTTGTGCCCCCCCCCAAAAAAATAAAATAAAAATAAGCATTAAACACTTATTATTTGTACTATCTAAATAAGGATCAGTCACTTTGTTCAAAGGAAAAATTGACAATTATGCACA